CAGAATTAGTCAATTCTCACTGTTTTGTTCTGAAAATTGCATCCCCTGTAACGTCATCCCATGCCTACCAATTCATCCTTCATCCCATGCCTACCAATTCCTCCTTCTCGTGTGTACCATCATCATCTAACCTTTTTCTTTTTAAATGAAAAAAACAAAAATCAAACTCAAGGTTTAATTAAATATTCAATATTCAAGGTCAAAGAAAAATTTAAATACTCAGTATATTCGTCAGGGTTTCTGTAATCTTAAAAAGCTTCAGTCAAGGCATTGTCTTATAATAATCTGGGACTCAATCGTATATATGCAGATTTATCTGCGGGCGGGGATATGATGATGGTTCAGGCAAATTTAAAAAAAAAAAAAAAAAGGGAATGTGGAAGGAGTAATGAGAGGGAGGAACGTGGAAGCATTCGAAAGGGAACACGATGGGGACCTTGAGCTTGAAAAGCGTCAGTATTCACGCCCATAAAACGTACACACAACTCAACTCTGCGGGATGCCCACATACTCGCTGCTATTCTCATCATTTCCATTCCAAAACAGCATCTGTGTTCTTCATCTGATGCTGAGGCTTGTCATTTTCTAAGCTGTCTCGCTTCCATGACTGGCGTTTGCTACCATGCCACTCCGATGCTATTTACAAATCACTTCTGTCCCACATTTACAAACAAAAAAAAAACATTAAATTAATAATTTTTTCATATTTATTCTTTTTTAAAGAAGGGGTATTACAAATATGTTTTATATTTCCTCTCACATATTTACTTTATCTCTTTCTGCAATTATTAAGTCAACGGGGTAAAATTAAAACAAAAAAGCTTATTAATTATCCTACAAATGACTTGTATTTAGGAATGATCTTTTTTCCCTACAAGTGATTTATAAATTAGAACACAACGGTACTCGTCTGGTTTTATTTATAAGTCACTTTTAATATATTTCATATAGATAGAAAAAAAATCTGAAATTTCATTAACTGTCATTTAAAACTCAATAATTTTTCAATTTTATATCTATATAATATACATTATACTTGCAAAAAAAAATCAACATGATAATAAATGAAGGGTAAAAATTGGAGGCCATAATTTAACTTGGTAGGCTAACATAACACTCATTATTAAATATACCAGATTATTTTTTCCCATTTTCAAATTCAACATTCTTCTGATTTTATTTATAAGCCACTTTTAACATATTTTACAGACTAATAAAAACTTTAAATTTTATCAACTCTCATTTAAAATCTAACAACTTTTCAACTTTATTCCGATTTTATATATAATGTATCTCATGAAAATGAAGTTAACACGATAATAAATCAAAGTTTTTTTTTTTTGGACCAGAGACTGAAGGGAAAACCACCTAACGCGGGTGGTACTTAAACAGCCCGAATGTCCTACTTATACACACTAACACACTCACACACCCATCCGATGTGGGGTTTGAGAGCACCCACAAGGGACCCTTCCAAGCACGCACCAGATAATAAATAAAAGTTAAAGTTGCACATTCATGTACAATTTTTTTTTCTCTCTACTACCTATAAATAGGACAAAATGTTTTTTTTTCTCTCTACCGTATAAATAAGACTAAAAGAGTACAGTGAAAGTCCTCCTCAACAACTGATATCTTCTACAATTTGCATGCGAATATATTGTCATTTTGCGTTTATTATCTACTAATTTCATCTCCATTATTTGAATGCCAGTTGAAAGGGCAAAAAAAGTTTTGGCCTCAAACCGAGATCACGAGATCATTAGCAACCCTTCTCAATTCATCAGTTCCCGAATTTTTATACGTGGATATATCTCTTACTTTATTTCTATATTCAATAGGTGCCAATTAGCAGTCTAGACTTTGAATGCCAGGAATACAATTGATTTTCATAAGAGAAATTTCTCCATTAGCAGTCTAGAAGCATCATCAGTTATTTGATTGCAATTAAGTAATTCCATAAACGAATGAGAAAATATTATCTTTTAAAAAATACAACAATATTTATTCCAGATAAATAGCTATAATAGGAGAGAGAACAATTAAATCTGTCAAAGTACACAGGCACAAAGTGACAAAAACAATATCGCAGAATAACCACCATAAAGAGAATTATCAATGGGCTGGACTATAGATAATGTGGCCTTGTGGCCCAAACCAGACACATAATTCAAAAAATGAGCGCTAACGGCTAGTTCTTGTTTCTCCGGCTGACAACGTCCATTTCTTGCTAAAATAAAGATGTAGGACGCCGCGTTGGCCAACGGTCATATTAACCCTACTTCCTTTATAAACCCCACTACCTTCGCGTCCCTTCCCAATCTCGAGTTCTTCTGCTTTTCTCTCTTCACGATTATCGCTTAAAGCTTCCAGAGTTTGTGCAATCTTGAATCAATTTCAGGTTTTCAATGGAGACCCCCTCATCAACAAGAAGAGTCACCAGATCTCAAGCCTCGGCTGCTCTTACTAACAATTCTAACGGCATCAGCCTCATCAACAACATCCCAGTTTCGAGTGAGTCATCTTCTTTACAATCGAATTCTCAAAATCCCTTTCTATTTGTCAAATTTTCATCGGCCTTATTATTGAAAGACTGAGTTAACGTATTTATCTTCTCTTTCAGGAAAGACAGAAGATTCTGAGAAGGCTCTGACAAAATCAAGGCAAAGAAACGGGAAGCAGCAAGACCGATCGGTCCTTATCGATATAACGAATGATTCTCCAATTGTGGGGCTCGCAGGCGGCAATCTCAAGACGCCGTCTTCTTCCATTGTGAAGCAGAAGGTCAAGAACACGCCGGGATCCGGAGAGGCTCTGCTCAGGGGTCAGGTCAAGACCCTCTTGCAGAGGGTGGAAGAAGAAGCAGTGCTTTCGAAAATATCGCTGGAAAGTCGTCCCTTTCTTCAACTTGTGAATTCCCCCTCGGGAGTGGTTGCTCCGACTCCCGCTAATACTCCCCAAATCTCCAATCTCTCCGGCGAAGCTTCAGTGACACCTCAGGCAATCGAGGAACATTCAGTTTCTCAGGTCCGTCGACTTCTGGTGAAACTAATTAGATTTTCACCGGGAATAAGATTTCTCGATGGAATTGTCTGATGGAATCTTGTTTCTTAATGGCAGGTCGTGAATCAAGGGAGCCCTGACTCCGATAAAAACCAGATAACCAGATCGCTCCTGATGGATTTTTCAGACAAATCGGAAATATCGGATCTATCAGAATGCTCCTCTGAGCTGGCATATCAGGAAGTAGTAGGAGGAGGTAAAGACAAGCCCGCTGCAGAAGATGATGATGCATCCATCTGGTCAATACAGGTGAATGCAAGCACACACGACGAGGATGAGGAGGAAGTGGCTGAAGAGGAGGAGGAGGACGAAGAGTATTATGATGAGGATGAAGAATATGATGACGGAGGCTTGGTCGACGAACTGTGTGAAGGGTTGAACAAGATCAGTGTGAACGAGAGGGCAGTTCCCAAGTTCGAGGGAAAACACACGAGATTTGTTTACAACAGTGATGATGAGCTTGTAGGGGAAGAAGAAGAAGAAAAGGAAAATGAAGAGGCATCGCCCAGCGTGCTGCACCTCAAGGGCTTGCCAACCCCAAAAGGAAAGCACCTTCGCTTTCCAGAGGAGGAAGCAGAACCAGAAGACAAAGCGGATATGGCTTTGTGATGATCAACTGAGGTTGTAATTCGTTGTCTTTCTTGTTGTGGCCCAGGTTTTTGTCTGTCGGAGTTTGCTGGTTCGTTTGTTTTTCTTTTGTCTCTACTTGGAAGCCTCCCAAGTTTTGATAAGGGACCACACATGGCGTGGTCTGAATATTCCAATAATTGATTTTTTTTTTCAGCTTTCGAATTACTTGCCATATCCCATTGTCATTTTTTGCTGTGGATATGATAATTCACATCCAAGCAATCCTTTTTCGTAGAATCAACCATCACCGGCAATTAATATCAACATTAAAATATATGAACGAATTAACTACTCATGCTATTTCTCTTTTTGTTTGACCAGGAAAACAAAACATCTGTTTCATGACAAATACACTCATTCCGATATTTTAATGCCACTTAGAATTATGAAGAAAAAAATAAATTAACTATCTGGACGGCCAAAATAACGCTACCATCTTGACTATTCGTAATTTCGTATTGTTATGATTAATAAAATAGCCCCTCAGTAGCAGGGTTTCTTTTTTTTCCCCCACTCTTAATAAAATAGCCTCTTTTTGGGCTCGAGAAAGCACCTGTTCGTTAGCTTTTGGTTCAGGAAACATCATTCTGTTCAACCATAGAATGAACTAACTAAACGCCACTGTGAATTATGAACCTTTTCTGCTAGCTTTTCAAAATATATACAATGTGACAATGTCCATCTGTCAAAGTCGAATTAGCCTTTGGCTAAATCTGTTATTAACCGAAAGAGAAACAATCTCTCATAATAAGAAAACTTCCAGTGACCTGTTTGTTTTATGATTCAGGAAGTTAATTAATTAGGTACTAAAACTTAATTTCGACTTCAAAAACTTTGAGACACAATTGGAAAAAAAAATTATTTAATGATAGTATATTGGACTGTGATATATTGATTTAAATTAAAAGAGAAGAGTGCAAATGTCATGTCAGCATTAACATGCGGATCACTTATATTTAATGAGCAGTAAGTGAGGGCACACATGAAAGGAAAGAGGGTGCTGTATATGTTAGTGTGAAGACAGATAGAGTTGTGAATTATGAAGTGAAAGCAACAGGACTGGAGAAAGGAGACGGGTCCCTGTCAGACGGATGCAACCAGCTAACGGAACCAATGGGCTTGCTTCAACCACCTCCCTCCTTGTCAACCTCGAATAACAAGATACTAGTGAAGTGGACGCAAAGTAAATTTAATTAACTCCGCCCAAATCAGTCTCCCATTCCTCTAACCACCATACAACGTTCCCCCTTCTATTAATTCCAACCCCCCCCCCCTCTTCATTCCCTCAAGCTCCAATCTTGATCATCATGGCGCGTTCTGAGATCGACACTCGAGCCCCCTTCAAGTCCGTCAAAGAAGCCGTCGCCTTGTTCGGCGAAAAAGTACTCGTCGGCGAAATTTACGCTCCCATGTTTCAACAGGTTCTCCAGCTCATTCTGCATCATTTTCTTTTTGCGGCTCTGCTTCGTGCATTGTTATTCATCACTTCATGTTATTTATATGTCTAGATACGAGCGGCCCAGAGTGAAACTGGGAATGTTCAGTCCAGAGAGGCCGAATTGAAGGCTGAGATCCAAGAAGCAAAACAGAGCCTTGAGAAAGCCAGAGAGGAAGCCAACTCGATGTCTCGCTGCATTAAGTCCCTCAAAGAAGAGCTCCAGCAGACTAAGAACGAATTGCAGGAGGTGAAGGGGAGAGAGTTGAGGTTGCTGAAGCAGAGGGATGATCCCGAGATTGAGGACCTCAAGTTCATTGCCAATGCGCCTGCCCAGGAAGATGATGATGCCAAGGAGTTGCACAAGAAAAGATACGTGAAATTCGCCAGTCCTCCTGCAGCACTTGAACCCATAGAGTCGCCACCTTCTCCAAACAAGCCTAAAAGAAGGCCGTCAATGCCTCTCTCCCGATGGCTTTTTGCTAGAAGAAAAGCCCATCCATGACCTGCTTGATCACTCTTTCCCGTCTTCATTACTAGCTCACAGCATTAAGCTTGTCTTCGGGACGCCTCATCCTCGATCAGTCCCCCGTCTTCGCGTTCAAACAAAGATCAACTATTGTTATTTTTTTCCCCCCGTAACCATATCAATTTTGTATCTCATTTTGACTCACATTTACATATCCACTACTCTGAGTTGGCTTTGGCTTAGAGCTAGGTCTGGTCTGTAGCAAAAATTTATTCACAATGCAATAAAATATCTGGTTCTCAGGTTGTTCAATCTAATAACGACGCACTACAAATACGCTCCCAAGAAAATATGTATGTTCACAGAGTTGCACAAGTTTGACGCATGACAAGTACTAATATTTGACATTCCGTCGAAGCGAAAGGCTTTAAAGATTCACGGCTCAATCTCTCTCTACTAACCAACAAAAATAATGCAGTAGTCTATGATTTCCTCGTGCGCACGCACCTGCCTCTAGATTACTATTACCCGAAACTCCACATAACGCCGTTTTAAGCCCCGAAAGTGCAAGGTTTCATCAAACTCAAGCAGGAAAATAATATTTTAATTTGTCTTCACCAAAGAAAGGAAGGATTAGAGAACCACCTTTTGCATATGGCTCGGCAATCCCCAGTCCGTTGAGACACTTTTGGCACACATGGCGTCCACTTAATTAATTTGTGACACCGAAGTTTGGATTATCATAAAAAGTGAAAAAAAGGATAAGTTAGAATTGGTAATTACATTATGAAATACGTGTCAAAAGTAAAGTTTGCATGCATGTACGTATATACGTATACGTATATAATGATGACTAAACACACACAGAATCGAAAGTGGGAATGTTTGAAAGGGGGGATTTCAGAGGAAGAAGAATTGATTTTGCGAGAAGGGGTGGTAGGGAGTGGCCCATAGGATGATTGAGTAGGTAGAAGCAGCAGAATAATTATGCAGCATTTACGAAGTTGGGTTCAAACTTCAAAATGTATACCCTCCTACTTGCAGCAGAATTCGGCCCAGTCTCCCTTCTCATCATGCCTCCCCCAACTCCTTCCCCACCTGTTCTTTCTCAGCCTTTAGCTTTTCCTTTTCCACTGATCTCCCCAATGCCGTCTCTGTCTCTCTCTCTCTCTCTTTTTTCGTAGGACATCTACTTCTATAAATTATAACTTTTACCAATTTGTAACATTAGTTTTCACGTGTGAGTAGAGTCTCATGTTAGCAGTCCCATTTCTCAAAAAAGTTCTAGTCATTTCATTTCTTACGGTCTGTCGCTGTCGCCAACATCATCATCACCCTCCACAGCTCCATAAAATGCTCGGAGGAACAAACGTTTTAACCAAATTAAACAAAATAAATAACAAAGCTTATGCATATTAACTAGAACTTGATGTTGTCTTGAAATTTTAAATTGCCATGTAATTTTTTTCTTGGCAATTAAAGTTTTTATCTTTAGAATTTAAAACTTTTGAATGGGAATTTCTTTATCTTCAGCCGTACAAATTTTTCAAATAAATAATGAAGAAGAAGCCAGCTTACCGTACAAGTTGTCAGGGCTTCTTCAGTGGTCCCCACACAAATCTCTGTCCAGAGTTCAAAGCCACAAAAACCTCTCTGCTCTTTTGGGGGAAAAGATGTTCATAGCTGCTTGTAGAGAATCGGATCATTCACACGATCGAATCGCTGGCCAGAGCTTATTTACCGAAAAAATTACGTATAAACCCAAATAAAAGGACTTTTTTCATAAACAAGTCTTGCGAAGGAAGTTGATTGTAATTTGCCACATACGTAAAAAGACCACGTTGGCCCTGCTTATGAAAAAGTTAATGAAATCAGCGGGTTATTAAATGATTTTTTTTAAAAAAAAAAAATCTCAATCCCCTTAACACACCAGGCACTTGAAACACAAATTGAGGAATCAGGAAGGCAAGTTCCACTTTTTTATTCTTATTATTAGATCAATTGGGGTTTACTATCATTAGATCTGATATAAAATATTATACTAAAAATATAAATATGTGAACCGTTTAGATCAAATTTTAATAATTAAATTTATTTATATACATTTTTTTGTTATTTGATATTAAAATACCACGAAATCAAAATCTCTTAACCATCAGCATCCTTTCCTTCCCATCTCGAACGCAGCAGCATTCGTCTTTCTCATTCAGGGACGTCTTCTTGGCCGCCCGTGGGTGAGAAGTCTCGACTTTGATTTTGTGGGTTCCTCAATCCTCACTTTGGTGTTTTGAAGCGGCAAGTGCGATTAGGGGATTTGGGACTCTTTTGGTTGGAAATTCTATGAAATATGAATAACCCACTTGTTTCGTTTTCTTGTAATTAGTAGGGACAGTTTGGTCCTCTCCCAAATGTGATAAACTACAACTAAACCTAGGAGTCTTGTCTTCAAACATGTCTCTTGTTTGAGACTTATACGTAATTCTTCCTTGCTTATTTACATACACTTCCTATTTTGATCCTGGGAAACGAATAAGATGGTTCTAGCCACTGGCAGAGAGACGCATTTTCCATTCTAAGCCAAATAATGACGATGAGGTCTGAGGTTGAAAGAGATCGAGACTGCTGTTGCAAAATTCTGAAAAACAGGTTCTTTTTATCAAGGGATGTAAATTAACTCGCATGATTATGCTCATTTTTTAAGGCAATCATTCCGATTAGCAAAATAATGACGGAATGTTATTGGGAAACGGACAAAGTAACAAACTTTAATATCTATTAGTCAACATCCATTAAGTTCCCTGCCCGACACGTGTCGGGTTGGGAACATGACTCTTAGCATAAAACAAGTTTCTTAAATAGTTCATGTGCTCATTAATTGACCATAACCAGTAATTCACATACAGAACCTAAATATAGGAACATAGCTAAGACAAGCTAGCATCTACAACTTAAGAAGCCGAACATGGAAAGTCATCAGTGGTTCAACTTGAATCTGGAGATCTGCGGGTGTAGGAGTTGAGAGTGAGCTCGAGGGAAGTACGATGAGAGCCATTGTTCTTGAAGCCATATTCATCGCCGTGATACCAGCCACCGCCATAGTAAGAAGAATCAGACCTGAGGTTGCAGTAGCCGTGGACGTCCTCACCGTGCATGGGAAAAAGAGGGAGAGTTTCAATCTCAGGGGCTCCATCTTCTCCTTCTTGTTCTTCTTTCAGCGTTTCTTGATCGCCAGGCCTTATTTTGTCCAAGAAGTTAGTGTAGTTTGAGTATGGATCCATACCTACCCATCCCAAATTGTGGCTTATGGTGCCACTGCTTCCTGCTGCTGATATTGAGCAGTCCTGAGAAAAGGAAGAAAACAAAAATTAATTTAAAGCACATAGTCGACGGAATGAAACTTTCGCCTCGTGAAACGTTTTAGTTCGCATTACAAGGTTCTTCCTTTTGTGGAAGCTTCAAGGAATCAATGAAGAAAGGAATCTGCCTCTTCCGTATTTGTCGTTAGATATTAGTCGTCCACATAGTAGTAGACTATCACCTGCTTAGTTTGCACTATCAAATCTCACATGGTTGCAATTACCTGTGATGGTTGCTTCCATTTCAATGCAGCACACAGTAGTTATACGTACCCACTGAGCATTAAAATCAACAATCAACAAATAAAAGGAAAAGGCAGAAAACGCAAACGTCATCGTATAGATGAATCTTTCGTAGCCATATTTTGAGTCATATGTACAATACAACTTACCCTAAAACACTTCTCCATAGTCACAGATCCATACCCATAGTTCCCCATCTGGCCCAGGGAAACCATCCCAGCAGTAGAAGATGAAGCAGAAGAAACGCCTGTAGTACAACAAAGCAAACATACAATATTACAAAGCTGATGACGTTGAGCATCAAAGAAACATATACCGGTAAACATGCAGAGAGGGATGGTGAGTTAATATATAGTACCGTGAGATGGCGGTATGTTAGAATACTTCGGATGAAGAATGGACTCGTGGTCAGGCTTCCAATTAGTAGTAGCGGAAGAAGGAGGTCTTTGCAAGTGCATGGGACTGGGGAGATGATCAGAGGTGGAGGTGAAGCGTTTCTTCTGGCGTTCACGAGCCTTGTGGTTCTGGAACCAGTAAAAGACGTTCTTGCCTTCAATCTTGCCATACTGCCTCAGCCTAGCAGAGATCCTCTGAATCTGCTCTGCATTTGGGGACCTAACTCCATTGTTGTAATAAAGGTCCTTCAGTATCCTTATCTGGTCACTTGTGGGAGTCCACCTTGTACTGCTTTGCCTGCACAAATACCCTCCTCTTCCACTCCCTCCAGCATCCTCGTTTGCTGCTTGCTGCTGTTGAGGTTCCATACTGGATGCACCCGCAACAATACAAAGACAAGCAAACAAGACACAACAAAACAATTTGTTGGATAGAGAGAGAGAGAGATAGAAGAAAGGGTTGGTATGTATGAATTGGAGGTGGAGAGGGAAGAGGAAGGGGATGGTTTATAATAGAAGGGAGGCACATGGAGTGATGAAGAGAGAAAATCAAAGAAATATCTGAGAGAGAAGGACTGAAGTTGACAGACACGAGTTCATAGAAAAGGGAAGGGACAAAAGAGGGCTTAGAAAGTGAGGGGTATCAGTAGAATTTACTTGGATCAAAAGGTATCACCAGGTATATCAAAATAATAATTAAGCACTTTCATAGAGGCGAGGGGGGTGTGGGGAGGGGGGAGAGAGAGAGAGAGAGAGGCAAAGATAAAAACCCAAACGGAAAAAGGTGTGAAATGGTATATTCAATTTGATGGAAGGAAGAAAAAAAGTAGAGGGTTCTGAATGAATGAATGAATGGCAATAGAATGATGCGAATTGAAGATTTGTGAATTTCAATAGGGATCTTCTTTTGATGGAGATATGGCCCCCCAGCCTCACTCGATCACATATCCTTCTAAACTCTCATTAATTCGAATCTGGAGATACAAAGATATTCCTGTACTTGTCTGGGGCATGTCAAGGGCACAAAAGTAATATGAACTCTTCCTAAATTTACTACGCCTCTCATGGGTCCCGAGAGCAACGATACTACATACAGGAGCACAAGCTATTGCCATTAGGGTTTGTGTGTTTTGGGTTAGTAGCCCTGTGTATGTTTGGCTCGCATCCTGTAATGGAATTTCTGAAGTTAGAGCCTTTCCTTGTACTTGTGAGAATAATATAATGCCTGGGCTTCATATGCCGCAAGGGAAACACACTGCTCTGCTACTGTGCCAAGATGGTACGTACAAGCTACATATGAGGTTTTCCAAATTTTAAGGGGAAAAAAAAAACAGAGAATAAATGATGATAGCTTTGGCATTCAGTTTCAATGTGTAGAGTGAGGAGGAGAACTTGTAGATGTATTAATCACCTGCACAAGCACTGGACCAGAGCTGGGGCAACATCCAAATATAGAAAATAAGGTTTTAAAAAATGAGAAGACAGAAACTGCAAGGTTACGTTCTCTTTTTTGTTTTCGGTTCTCGCCCTTCACGTTCTGAGTTTATCCCGCGAGATCAGCTAATTATGATTTCTCCTTCTGTTTTTGCCCTTTTCCTGCATAGAAGTATCATACAAAATAAACAGAATTCGCAACTGTCTGGTACATATCCTCAAAGGCAAATTTAATGGGAAGTTTTATCAGCCATTTGGGAGGTCCAAAAATATGCTACATGCTCCTACATATTGTCATCATCGTAATAAAGTGACTACGTTTTATCTATGGAAAAAAAAAAATAATGGCCGGGAAATGCTTAAGAGGGACCCAAGTTCTGATCGTGTGCATGTATTTGATTTCTCCGTGTTTTTACGAGGAAACGCAAGTTTTAATTGCGGATGAACATGTCTAGTAATTAATTCCTCACTCATTGAATCTCTAGTAAGATCAAATAAATTAAAGTTGTAAATATTGTTAAGATAAAAAAAAACCAATTGTCTGGCGTACGTCAATAAGGGTAAACTACTTTCTTTTTTTGGTTGGTCAAATAAAATGGTAAACTAGTTTAGTCGCAAAAACACATTAGGGTTAATGAAAACACAATGATATATATGTGTGTGTGTTTGGTAGCTTAGTAATGTTAATTAAGTCGAGATGAAAGAAGAAAAGAGACGCAGGAGAGGGAGGAGGTAGGGCACGTGGTAGAAATATAAAAGGGAAAAAATGAAAAAGGGTGAGGGGTTTGAATAAGCGAAGGAAGCACGCGGCCCAAAAATTAAATGCAGGGGACATTAAATGCAAGGGGCGGATGTCATGGCTGGTGGAGTTTTTCTCCCCACTGTGTCTTGCCTGATCTCACCCCTTGAAAGCCTCATCATTTCTTGCCTTCTCCAACCTCTGTTTCCCATCTCATTTGAAGAGGAAATAGAAATACGAATCCTCTCCCAGTGAATAATCTTGGATATTAACTGTTTTATGATATATGCAGATGATGATGATGGGGTGAAAGAAAAAGGAAAGGGAGGGGGATTGATGAATGAATAATAGAGGAGGGCGGGGAATAATGATTTCTTGTGTACGAGGGTAAAAAGTACGAGATATACATGAAAAAGAAGCAGTCAGGCAGAGCGGGCGTGGATGGAACTATTCAATGTTTCCCCCTCCACACCCCATTCTGTTGCAACAGTAGTCTCGTCCGTTTCATACTCTCTCCTTCTTCTTCTTCAACTTTTTCCTTTGCATTTTAACTCTCTGATTTTGACTATTCCATCATCATTGCATTTCCTTCTCATGCATTCACCCACATCCCACCACTTGCCCCTACCCTCTCTCTCCCCCGCCCCTCCCCCTACCATCTACGCCTCTAATACTACTTTCCATACATATAAATTCTCCATCTTTTTACGTGACAAAGCGTATATATATTTGATTATTTATTGTGTATGGTAAATGATAGTGAAAAGTAGTAAATTAGTCAGTCTCTTATCCAATATGCTGAGCAGCTTACCTCAGAGAGGGAGAGAGAGCCCTAGAGAGATTGGCAGCCGCACTGCCCTAGTCTTACGGGTAATCATCCCTCTTGCCCTCATTTTCCACTCCGTATCTCTAAACGATACATCACCAAGATCATTCCAATCTCTCTCTCTCTCTCTCTCTAGCTAGCCCCTCTCTCTATGTTGGGTCTCCCTTTCTTTCTGCTTTCTTTCCTCCCCAGTTTCAGATAGAGACTTTGCCCCATATACAGTAAACCCTAGCCACCCAAGTCTTGTTTTTTTCTGGCCCCCCCAATTCTTCGTTATAATTATAACATACTTATCGCTGCAGATAGGGCTGGGGCGCTGAGTCTTTCAGGGGCAATGGGGGTTACTTTCGTGAGTTAATTGTGATGCGTCTTATGATACCAACAGGGAGTGTAGAGTGGACCCATGTATGCTGTGTTTCAATTTAAGTCTTGGCTCATAACTTAGAATATATTAGTGGGTGGAGTAGGACCACGCCCACCACAGCAGTTTTGAAGCTCCATTTCAATATCTGGGACTCTAAATGCTAATCCATCTTTTTAGAGCCGGCGAAAGATGTCTCTGGCTGCATCTAAAAATACTAGGGCCAGCGAATTGTATATGATATATGCATAATATGTGTGCGAAAAAACAAAACAGGAAATTAAAGAAGCATCGTGAAAGAATAAAATTGAGCGGCATACAGGAAAGTGGTGATGTGAGAACTGAAGAGGCAGCCCTTATTACACATTCCAAAGCACGAACTTCAGCTACCTTTCTCAACCTGCAAACTCACTTTTATTTCCTCAGAGACGTACTCCATATGATTTCTATTTGATCATCATTCTTTTGTGCTTAATTACAAGATAGCGTATCTCTGCAGGGAATGAGATTTTTATTAAATTCTCTCAAGTGTTTCTACTTGTCGCATGCCTCCTGGCAATGGAAAAAAACGAAGTCACGTCTGAGGAGATTAGAGCTGTACTATATTATTATTCATCCTTGCTGCATATGTGTCTTAGGACATTCTGAGTGCTTTTTACGGTTACACGAAACCAAAGAGATTGCCTCACTACGGCAGCATATATAATCTGTACGTAGAAGCAGTTGTTTACCGAGGGCTCTTAACTAGTTCAGTTGTAACTATAAACAAAAAGTTTAAATTTTAATCTTAGATTGTAAAATTTACAGCCAAGCAAACTTAATTTTTTTTTAAAAGAAAGTTGTTAATACAAATCTAATCTGCAGGCTTGGGAGCCAGCTGGTATGGCAGTCTGGAAGGGGGTTCGAATATCGGGGTTTTGTCTCGGTTGATTAATTGTTCGTCATGCGCTGCGTGTATTTTTTACTTGTAAGATGTTAATAATGATTTTAAATTATACAGCAAATGGCTAATCAAATCAAATCAATCCCAGTGTAACTTTGGTCTCTATATTAAAAAAAAAAAACTTGAATTGGAATTTGTCTGGAATGAGAACAAAATAGCATAGCAAGTGGGGTTGTTTGATTGTTTTTAATTTGGGAAAAAAAGAAAAGGGAAGAGGAAAACAGGTCGGGCCCCTGAAGATTCGATTTCAGATTGATGAAAACCTTGAGAAGTCTAGTCAGGCATCAGACACTGAGAGAGCTGAGAGTTCCAGATATCTACTGTTCATCGCGCATTCACCAATCTTTTTGATATAACTGTTTTTTAATTTCTTTTTAATTACTTCGCATCAGGAATAAAGTATAAAACTCCATGTGAGGGTATGGATAAGATTGCATTGGCGCTGGATGAGGGCACATAAGAAGAAATCAGCCACACGATGGAGCTAATGGGGTGATGATACGTATGTATATGCATGGATTTAATTAAATGTAGGAGTGGGTGTGAGAGATAGATGAAAGAGTGACGTGTGGGGAGAAGAGTTGTCATATAAAGGAGCCACGTTCCAGGCAAACTAAAACTAGCACTGGCCTTGCATTCCATTTGGCACAACACGACAAGGCCCCCATCATTTAATCCATAATACTCCCAATATCTCCTATGTTTACCCTAAAACCTGCCTTCACTTCATCTTCTTCTCTCATTCATCCTCAAACATCTCTTATTAATTCCCTCCTCCTCCTTTATTTTCGATCAGTTTTTCCCACACTCAAAAGGTGTTTGGATGTAAACCAAATCATGATTTTAAAAGTGTTTTTATAGTTTACGGTAAATATGTAGAGGAGTTTGTCTCGTTTTGCAGAAAAGTACTTCTTAGAAGCATTTTTAAGCATTCCCAAACACCCCTTCAATCACTCTTTCAAAATCCACACGCCTCCGTCAATTAAAATCACCAGCAATCTACTTAATTACAGGGGCTGTGTTTAACAAAAAAGATTAATCTCTAGCAACAATACGAGGAATAAGATTCAAATCTTTGTGAGATTAAAATCACATGATTGTTTCCCATATTTTTATCCACCAGCATTGAAGTATAAAAGAAGTAATTCTCATATTATTTTTTCAGGTGCCTGTCTGTGCGCACGACAGAGGTGTTTTGTAATTAAATTAATATATATTATGAAATGATATTCGGCACTACAATAATAGTAACAAAAATTGCTTTATACATGATAATACGTCAATATGTTTACGTTGGATAATTAATCAGAATATTCAACCAAAAAAAATGCATTACAAATCACTAAAAAATTTAAGTCATACAAGATCAACAAGTTTAAATTTGTGCTAATTCAGTGCTTTGGTTATTAGATAGCTAGTCCTCGTTGACTGCAACGAATTTAGATGGTTATTCGCCAATTATCAAGATCGATTGATATGAAGTGTATGGGCATTTCACTAAAATTTGGGCTCTGATTATTTTTCATCGCTGCAGTTAATAAGAGTCCAGCGTCTGAATGGCGAGAAGCGTCTACCAATTTGGAGAGAAATCTACGGTCCCTTTTGGCATGGAATATTAAAAATAACAAATAGGAACTAAAATTACAATTAAAAAATTATTTAAATAGTATTTAGTATGAGTAATTAGTTATTACATGAGATTTGACAAACCCATGAAGGTGGGATTGGGAAATACCATCGCCTCCTATGGTATTTTCTAACTCTACATACATGAGTTTGTCTAATCTTATATAACAAGCAATTTTTCATGTGTTAAGTATTTTTTTAATAAATTTTCTCAATCTCAATCTCAATCCGTACCCCTCATTTTTAATCATTCATACCAAACGTGACTTACGTGCGCGCGTGTCTGTAACTCTGACTAATTATATGTTACCTTATTTCAAACTATTAAATGAAATCCCAACTGTTTAGGTTTTGCATGAGCTTACGATTGATTCATGTGTAATTTATGATTAAATAATACATTTTTAGTTCTATTTATAAAGCAGAGAGAAGATATCTTTTTGTTCTATTTATAAATTATATCGTTAAATTTTTAGTAAGAATATATTATGGTGTAGATAGTTAATTATTTGTTTGAAGTTATATATATATATATATATATATATATTAAATAGGGATAAAACTGAAAAGTTATATTTTGATAGGGACTTAATGTAACTTAAGGTTATTCTTGATTTGTATGATGTTTAAGATTTTTCTTAATTTGTGTGAAGTACGCTAAAAGTGCTTTATAAATAGGATTAGTATAATCTTAGTTAAATACTACATTCGGTTTTAATTATAAGAGCTAGTTGACTAATTTGAAGAGATTAAGAAAAGAAATTAAGTTAGTTATTTGTAATAAATATGTGCTATCTTTCCTAAAATATTCTTACTAATTAAATGTATTGGTTAGAGCTACTATAGTTAGAAAGACTATCTCGAAAAAAAAGCATAAATATGGAAAACAAAGTGAATTGGAGTCTTATATCTAAGACTAAAATAAAAGTCAAACAAGACTTTATATTACAAACCGGAGGTAGTAATAGATAAAATTACATGACCCAATGACAAAATATAAATGCAGTTGTATCGACTACGTACGAGAATATCGATAACATTAACGATCTAAACTTCAGCATGTTCTCATACTGGACTGGGATTGAATAACTAATTTACTTTTTCTTTTTTCTTTTAAAATTTTTAAGATCTATCTAAATTTTTTATAACAAAAAAAAGTACTGGGTAGCTTCTCGTCCATTCGGCGAAGAAAAACACTGGACATTATGTTTATTTGACAAACGTAAAAATTATTGTTATTGTCGGTTCATTTATGCCCAATATGTTTACCCATACACTTTTCTGCGTACATTTTTATATTGCTCGATTGATTTTGTTTGGTTTTGGGCCACAGACCGTGATTCCAACTCGTTTCTCAAAGCCGGGCCCATGTTTATGTAAAAGCCCAAACCACACCGCCCCTTGAGAGGACTGAAGTCGGAAAACGGGCTGTGAAATTCCAAAAACACCCATAGAGAGGATAAGAAAGGGCAGATTCTTATCGGCAAAATGCAGCCGCTGGTCTAGCCGCTTCTGCATTTGCTATCATCTCATGAAGCCATGGACATGTCACCCGAGCACCAGCTCCCTCTCTTCAAGCTCATTCTCCCTCATTAACCTATCAACGCCCAAGCACTCCCACACCTTCTTCCATCCACGACACCGTTTTCTCAGATTCAATCCCATCGCCTGTAGTACCCCTGATAGTGGCGGCAACACCAACGTTAACGATGGCGGCAGCGGCGTGCCAGACTCAGTTCAATCACCGACCATGCCACCGCCGGGAGCTGTGGAAGTACGCTTCAGAAGAAGGTCGAGAAGGCAAGCCAGGCAACAGAGGGGTGATGGAGGAGTCTCGAACGCCGCGCAATCCACCAAGGCAAAGGTTTCAGCGAGTTATCCGAAGAAATGGGAGGACATGAGCTTGGCGGAGAAGGCAACTGACTTGTACATGGGAGAGAAGGGTTTACTGTTTTGGCTTAATAAGTTTGCATACGCTTCAATCTTCATAATGATAGGGGCTTGGATATTGTTCAGGTTTGTGGGGCCGTCCCTTAATCTTTACCAGTTGGATTCTCCTCCTCTCTCCCCTTCTTCCGTGTTCAAGGGATCTTCCTGATCTCTCAGGAGTTGCAACTGCTGAGTACTGCTTCCTCGGGCGAAGAAATTGGTTTGCCTTTAATCCTGGTGCATGCCAGGATTATGTTAATTCTCACAATAGTAGAAGTACCCTGATCAGGAGCGCACGAGCAAGTCATACCTTTTAGTGCATGAATAAAGTTGGATAGAGTATGAATTTCATGTCCACTTATCCTGTTCTTTAATTTGCGCACATAAAAACGAAGAATGGAAGATTCAACCTCAATAACACAACTCATACCCAAAATCTTCTTTTTAGGAAATGGGAAATAAGTGTAGCAAGTATATATCTTTCAAAGGCTAAACAATTCAAAGCTGGAAATCCAAAATTCGAAGCAAGCAGCAATCTTAACTAATGAATCCAATGTTCCACCGCAACATTGGCTGTTTGCGTGTGACTTGACTAGTATGAGTTCGACAACCGCAAATAAGGATCACTCTGTTTAGCTCAGTTTGGATAACCAACTAAGATACAGTATAATCAATCCCATCCGCCCAAGGCTGAGAAGTTTGCAAAACAAAAGGTTCCGAGTTCCTAGAGCCATCTCTTAATGAGCTTAATGAGCGAAAGAGGGAAATATATAGTCATTTACATATCTCATGTCCTAGAATCATGGCATTAATCTTATTGTCAAATTAAAGAATGACCTTTAACGCTGTAATCCAGAAAGATAATCGTCCTTGCTGCAATTTGTACACATCCAATCTCCCAGAAGCGTCAGTAATGTTAGAACGCAGCCAGAGCCCAGAAGGAAAAGAAGCCGTGCATATATTGACCAACATGTGCAATGCACCCCAAATACACAAACAAAAAATAGGAAGATCTCAAATGAGCTGGCAGCAAGACCTTCTTATCAATTTGTCACACAACATCAAATATCAAACAACCGTACTAATACAATACGTTGCATGTCTCAATGCTTGGTGGTATGCTCAGGACTCTGTCTCGCAGAGTAATAAGGTTCTAAAACAAAATTAAACAGCGCAAGGAAATAAATGAACCGAGCGAGATAACTTAACTTTGTTGTAGTGATAAACTTTAGATTACCATAAGACAAGGGGAAAAAAAGTATGCCGAATATAGTCTAGAATTTGATATCGTTGTAATGGTTGCGGAACAGCTTGCCAGCTTAAACTAAACTACCTGGATCAAGCCATGCTTTAACCCTGCAAATCTGTCTCGGAATTCAGAGCATGCAAGTAACTAGCATCTACCGTTTTGCGAAACAGCGCTCAGTTGCCAGTTCAAAGACAATAACTGTTGCAGATGTAAGCCACAATGAAATAACGAAAGAGACCGTTCTCATGTGGTCATACGATACACCACAAGATGACTAAAGGCTAATTCCAACTTCTTTCCGCATATTGCATACCAATAAGAAACAAATTATACAAATAGATGTCAAGTGCCTCTGCAACCTTCCATAAACCTCGAAGGAAAATCCAAACTTTGAATACGAGCAAGAAAAATGGCCAGTAAGAAGGCCATCTCATGAACAGGGACTGAATGCTGATTCATAAACCATAAACACACTAAATTTGTCCCAGACCTGCCCACCTTAAGTCACAAACACTACATCATCTCATCACTTGAATTTAGTCTCTGATGCCCCCATATAAGCAGACAACTACATACAAATGACAAACACACTAAAAATATTTCATAGAACTGGAGAAAAGAAAAAAAAAAAATCAGAATGAGAAGAGATTCAAAACCCTGAAAATTCAAAATCAAGTATCATAGAAACACCGGAACAATCATGGGAAACTAAAAAGAAGGAACTTGTGCATATTCAATCGCCAACACTTGGTGACAGTTGGGGGTTTTCAGTATCGAACAGACGGCAGTTGCTTATCATAGCGATTGCTGAAAAGCAGGAAGGCGTGATTTCAATTGCTGGAGAAACAGAACTCCCAATTCTTCTTCTCATTGGTTTGGATCAATGCGACATGGTTTTAGAATCAACGCAGCGTACAGAGCGAGGGAGAGAAGCGACAAAGATGAGGGCTTTCGGCTTTGGCATTTTGGCAAGTCAGGGAAGAGAACGCTGCAGAACGGAAACAAAATCCCTCTATCTCGGCAGCAAGGTCCACTGTCAGTTGTATCAAATGTTTGGTAGATATATAATTTTAGTTGCCATACTTTCCCCACCTAACCTAGAATAATTTAAAATTAAAATATTTATAACTTTGTTTATTTATTTAGTATTTTTCAGGTTTCACATTCTTCGAAAAAGGCATTGCATAAATTGAGTCTTGTACTTCCAAGTTTCACCCTCTTAAAAAATATATTAGTTAAGGCAAAGGCAAAAAATTTAGTTTTTTTTTGTTTTGTTTCAACTGCAAACTTTCCAAGGTAATTGCCGTGATTTGAAGTCAAAGTTAATGTGAAAAACGAATTTGATTTGCAAAATTGATGGCAAAAGAACTGGATATTACAATTTTTGTCTATACATTCTCAATAATCAATAATCATCCCACTTGTAATTTAAAAACCGGGAAATTGAGAGAGGGAGAGAGAGAAAGAGGGAAATAGAAACTGAAAAGCAAAAAGGGAAGGGGGGCAAGGAAGCACCAACTGATTATCTTCAGATTTTTGGTTCGGATTGCCTTCTTTTTCCATAAGCAAGGGGAAACGCGTGCCGCTTGGAACAGCACGATTCAACTCCGACCAGGGACGATCCTCGCTTCTCATCCAAGCACGCCTCCTATTTCCCCTTCCTCCCATTCTCTCGTCCTCAATTCCCTCGGTATGTTGCCCCTGGGAAGATTCCCTCTCAATTGTCTCTGTTTACCCCTCGGCTTCTTTATTTTAACGTTCTGAGCCTGCCATCTTGTTGTTTAGCTAGTCTTGGTGGGTGGCTACTTTAACTTCAAATCTGTCCATTTCTTTTTCCTGTACTAGGGTTAAATTGCATTTTTTAAAGATCACCTTACAGTAGCGGAAACCCAAATTTGTGGTGTCTGAATTTCTTCTTTCCTGTCAATGTGGTTATTAGGGTTTATGTTTTTATTCTTTTGTGAGTTCATTATCTTGGGATGACTTGATTGGGGCGTTGCTGTGATGATGGGTGCTGGTTGGAATGCTCTGAAGGAACTCAGAATTGGTAACAGCTCAAAATTTTACCTTCTTCCAAAAGAAAAAATTGGCTGTGTCAACGAATTATGCATCGGCCTCAATTGTGTTTCGCTGTGATGCTTTGTATTATTAGCAACGAAGTAAGTTTTGGCAACAAAGGTGTAGCTACACAGCGGGGACATCTAGTTTTTACAATAGGTCTACTTGGATCCATTTGTGTTACCGATAATCATAAAGTCGGTATCTAAAGGATTATTATAGCATATGTGCTGTACGGTGACGACATCATGAAGTGATAACTGGACAAATGGTGGATACAAACGTCCTGCTGATATGATTTGGATTCCATTGAGCATTTAACGTCTCATATCAATCAAATTTTTTTTCCGGAGTTAGCATGTAGTTTGATGATATAAATTTTCTGAAGCTTCATAACAGCAGCATGTATACATGATAGACTTTTTGTTGTGGACGATCTGAAGTGTATTTATGAGTCTGATATGGTTAAATTGTATGCATGATTAAAGTTTAGACTAATATAGATATGACAAAATGTGTGCTTTGATTTTTGTTTATTCCAGTATTTGGTGTTCATCGTATTACATTGCTTTCTTTTAGTCCTGGAATTGTTTAATACATATGGAGTCCATTCCAGCTATGCACGTCCCTTGGTGCTCTGTCATGCATTATAGTTTTGACATCATTGTAAACGTTTTCATACCATAGATTATTGGGGCTTCTCTTTCTTCTGGTGCGTGTGCTTCATAACTAGAATTATTTATATCGTGATTATTTAGAATGTCAAGCTCTCATATCTCTATCCAACTTAAAACAGTCAATGGCTGCAAATGAAGACATTGACATGCCAGCTTTGAAGCCTGAGCCGAGCCAAACTGATGAATTGTGGAAGCAGGACATGGAAAGAAACCAGTCTCAACTGGATATCCTGCAAGAAAAAGTCATGGAGGTTAAGGCCTGCATACAGGGTTCGGAGGAAGATGCAAAAAAGGAGTTAGATGTTCTTTGGCGGAGAGTCAAAACTACTGCTACATTATTGACCTATTTAAAATCCAAGGCTAGAATCATGGCTGTTCCTCATTTAGCCCACACATCTTGTGGTATCAAACAACTAGAGGGGGTAGGGCTTGTGGACAAAAATGGGATACCGTTATCAGGTTGGTCCAGGAATGTTGATGTTTCTTCATTTGACAGTCCAGATGAAGAGTCATGGATAGGAATGAACCGGCAGCATGGTTTGGTAGATGAACAAGATGCAGCTTATATAGGTGAGATACTGAAGTCCATTCAGATGGTTGCAGATGTTATGGAAATCCTTGTGAAGAGGGTTTTGTTGGCGGAATCTGAAACTGCAATTGAGAAGGAAAAAGTCACTTTAGGTCAGGAGGAAATTAAGAGGAAGTCTGCCCAGTTAGAGAATATGTCTATTAAATTAGAGGAGATGGAACGCTTTGCTCTGGGCACAAATAGTATTTTGAATGAAATGCGGCAAAGGGTTGAGGATTTGGTGGAAGAAACAACCAGACAGCGACAGCGAGCTTCTGAAAATGAGCAGGAGCTCAGTAGAGTGAAACGGGACTTTGAATCTTTGAAATCATATGTTAGCAGTTTAATATCTGTGAGAGAAACCTTACTTTCATCGGAGAAGCAATTTCAAAGTATTGAGAGGCTGTTTGAACGGTGAGTATCTATGTGCTCTTTGCAATATACTTTCATTCTGTGCCTTTTCAAGTGTTTGATCTGCATCAAACTTCCTGCTTGATTTCTGTGGCTAACTATTGTTTGCTTGACGGCAATGCCATTTTGTACCAAGTGCTTAAACTTTGTCGAGTAATTTATCCTTTTGGTGGAACTTGTGGAGCATCACAGGCTGTTTAGTAGGAAAAAGGGAACTCCTCTGTGTAATGTTCATTGTACCTTTGAAATCATGATCTAGCAATCTCTATTTTTTTTTTTTTTTCACTTTTTAAAAGTAGGGATACGGCAGTCATTTTCTATTTTCAAGATTACTATTCTCATTCTATTTTTCATTCCATTTATATTCATTTTGTATAACAAGAGATCCTTTGTGATGAAAGAAGAAACATGGTTATATGTGCTGTTTTTGTTGCTTTTATTTGAACAAGATCTCATCCTCCAATGACTTATAACGTTACTGTTGTATGCTTCTTTATCGGTTTTCAAGAGCCACAACCACACTGCTGAATTGTGCAATTTTTACGAGTGCGACATATGAACATCCTACAGGAATGGCTATGCTTATTTGTAGATATGTGGTATATCGACTTCTAGGGATTTTCCGTGTTTGTCCTTCTAATTAGACGTGCCTTCCCTGCTTGAGTTTGGATTAGTTTTAGCTTGCATTTGGCCTGCTTCTCACTGCCTGCGGTATTAAACTTAAGACTTGGGTTCTTAACTTTTCTAAGATGACTAATCATTAGTGCTTTGCCTGAATTGCTGTTACTTTGTTGAGGTCAACTATCAATTTATAATACCATGGTTGGTCCAAATACAATCATGATATATGGAATTTATTCTTGTACTGCGCAAAATTTTTCAATATGTTGGCCCATGCACTTGCGACGCCAGTACTGCGCTTTTGAATGTGAGTGCTTTGTTCTGGCTGCTTTTAATTGATTCTTTATCTAAGCATTCTTCAAAATTGGTTGAATTAGTAGGCTTTTGCTGAGGTGTTTGAAATGGAAATAAGTTCTGGTCACAAAGGCACAGTTGAGTTTTGAATATACATTCTGTGGAGGAACATTATGATAAAACGTTAATTTAAGCACTTGTGTCGGATTAAAGCTTGTTAGTTGTTATTATGTCAGTTCATTAACTCATTTGATTTCATCTGCAAATTTAGTTTCATCCCCCTTGCACGAAGTTCTGATTTATTTGGATGTGTATTGTCTTACTGCTTGACGTTGCTGTGAGTCAGGCTGGTTGAGAAGACTACACAATTGGAGGGTGAGAAAATGCAGAAAGAGGCTGAAGTTCAGAGACTCATGGAAGAGAATGTGAGGTTGAGTTCTCTGCTTGACAAGAAAGAGGCCCAGCTTCTGGCATTGAATGAACAATGCAAGGTAATGGCCTTGAGCGCTTCGAACATGTAGATGCTGTGATACCTTACTGATTGTTTGCATGATATGCGCCCCTGCTTATCGTGGGACTGTGGGAGGCATCCAAGAGGAGTTTTCCTGGGTAATGCAATGCACTTGTCATCATGATTGAAGTCCTCTCGTCCCGAAGGAGCAGCAGTGAACGGCTACTTACTCATCTCTTGTGCCTTTGTTTTACTCTCTGGTGCCATCATTGTGCCTTTTTGTTGGAATTCATCGTCAAAGACAATATGTACTCGAAGCGAAACTGCGAAAACTTGGCTTGCTCTTTTATGAAAGGACAAAAAAGAAAAAGGATTTAAGTTGTCTATATTTGCAACAAATGTTGAAGACCGCGTCGTGGATCGCCGTCATGTTGATATCATAATTATTGCTTGTGAGTGAACGAACAATCTTTTATCTTTCAATTGTTGAGTTTATCGAGTTTTTAGATTGAAAATAAAATCGGTGCATTCTAATTTTAATTGGCATTTAAAAGTGAAATTCTTATTTCTCATCAATCTTCAAGATGAATGAGCTAAAGATGTTGTATTTAACAAGTTTAGAATAATGATTATTTATATGAACGGGTAGGGTTATTAATAATTGAAAATTAAAATTCTGGTCGCCCAGTGCTACAAACTGATACATTTTTGCCAACTATAAAATAATGATATTAATAATATGAAATTTTAAAAATATATGAGAAAATTATTCGGGGAAGTCATGGATATACACTATTCATTACCCAAGCCCCAAGGCTCATAATGATCATGATTGTTGGCGAAAAATGAAATTATAATGATTGAAAATTGGCTACACAAATAGTTAAAAAAGAAAAACGTTGAAGGTTTTCTGTGCTACATGTAAAAACTAATTTGATTTTTAATTTAGTAGTAAATATAATATCTTAATCCATTTTATCTTTTATATTTATTTAATTTTTTAAAGTAGTTATATACTAGTTGTATATGTTAAATATTTTATTAAATAATAGTTTTAGTTAATACACTTATTAGCAAGGGTGTTTAAAGGAAGATAACACTTATTTATTACAAATAATCAATTTAAGTAATTTTTTTAATTTACTCAAATATGTTAATTAGCTCTTATAGTTAGTACTACCTCCGGCTCTAATTATAGGAGTTAGTTAACGATTCTAAACATAAGACTCCAATCTATTTTGTCTCTCAAATTTATAATGTGTTCTAAAAAATATTCCTATTAATTGTAAGATATTTCTACCCAAATGTAGACTCAATGTATGTAATTGAATAAGGATAATTTAAGAAAGTAAACATGTATTTGATACAAATAACTAAATTAACTATTTTTTTTAATTTTTTGAAATTAGTTACCAAGGTTTTTTTTTATTAAGATGGGAAGGTAGTACCACTGTACCAGTATTATTTTACGGCGCTGACTTCGTATGGAGGCCGTAAATGAGAAAATTAGAATGTCGCCGGGAACGGAACAGCCGTAAAGGAAAGCCAGGCGCAGGAAAGGCAACAGAACAGCACGCCCTGTCCTCTCAGCTCAGAACGACTGTCTTATCTCAAAACCCTAACTCTATCGCTTCTGCTGATTATCCCTTGTTTGTATTTTTCACGAATTTACAGTATAATGTCTCACTCCGTGGCCCTCAGAAAACAAGGTGATCACCAGCCCGATGATGGCTCCTCTGCCACTAAGCTGTCTCGTCTTAAAATTGGGATACCTTCTGAGGACGCCGATAAGAAGGTGCTCCTTCCCTCCCCCTGTAGTTCTTGTTAACAATTTCTGAACCCTAACACTCCTACCTAATTGTTTCCCTTCACGCTCATTTTGAATTTTGATTATTTTGCACCTTAAATCTTTTGTTACGGCTATGCATGGGTTCTGTATATTCTTCTCGATGGTGAATTGAGTTAAGAAGTTTGGTTTACGATTCTTGGAAATTTTACTCCTCTTTTTATAGACAGTTATCATCTCTGGATGTTGCAGAATGCAAATAAGAGAGTTAAAGATGTTGAAATTTGTGTTCCAATTGTATATGGTACTATTGCTTTCTACCTGGGCCGGAAGGCTAGTGAGTAAGTTCGATCGCTGATTGTTTGAGTCCCTTATGTTTTTATGCGTCTATCAGTTTTGCAATTGTCTCTAATGCCTCATTCCTTCCAGGTCTCAATCGCATAAGTGGACGGTCTATGTACGCGGGGCATCCAACGAAGATCTTGGGGCGGTCATTAAGCGGGTTGTATTTCAATTGCATCCTAGTTTTAACAACCCTAGGAGGGCTGTTGATTCACCGCCATTCGAATTATCGGAATGCGGCTGGGGTGAATTTGAAATCGCCATAACCCTCTTTTTTCACAATGATGTCTGTGATAAACCGTTGGATTTGTGAGTAGTTTAGCTTGGCTGATTTGCCGAGAACTCATTTTTCTAGACGTCTTTTAAGTAACTCGAACATCCCCAGCCCTCCACTTGCGCGGGGATATTGAACGAATTTTGAATAGAGGACGAACATCAGTTAAAATTCAAAAAATAATTGCACAGCAATGACACAGTTACTTTGGATTGAAATTCTATAAATAGATATATATTGTTTACTGGATTACTGGATTCTTTTTCCTAGGTACCACCATTTGAAATTATATCCTGAGGATGAATCGGGCCCCCAGTCCACCAAGAAACCTGTTGTTGTAGAATCTTATAATGAGATTGTTTTTCCTGATCCCTATGAGGCTTTTCTGGCACGTGTGCGGAATCATCCTGCGGTTATTGTGCCTAGGCTTCCTGCCAGTGTTAATCTACCGAGTCCTGGTGAGTTTGTGTGAGTGCTGTTGTAATATTTTATTTCTCATAAGTATTCATTTGATGGTTTCCCCACCTCCCTCTTGCAGTTCCAGTTGAGAGTGTCAATGAAAAGGGCAGAGCTGATACCAAAGACCATCACCTAAGCCAGTGGTTCATGAATTTTTCAGAGGCTGATGAGCTCTTAAAGCTTGCAGCGGCACGCCAGGAGGTTGAACTTCCTAACCACCTCATTTGTGTGTGTGTGTGTTAGAATAGAGACTAATTATGCTGCATTTCTTAGAGTAACATTATGGTATGGTAAATTTATTTATTTGAAAACATCGTTGATTCCCTGATCCATTCTTCATTTATTCGGTATGGCTAATTGTTCTTTTAAGCTCTTCTATTTATTTATTTATTCAATTGACGTCAGCTCTTTTATTTTGCTCTAAGATTATTGTCTGCATTATTGTTGTTCCCGGCATTCTAGGGGGCTTTTATCGTACGGTGAATTTAATGAAGTGTGCGTGGTTCTTGCCTTTTTCTCCCCGTGTTGCCCTGTCGGGGATTGTGCAGTGTGCATTGAATGAGCACTAAGTTAGCTGTTCCTGTTGCATTGGCACTTGTGGACTTATCTTTATTTCTATTGAGAATATTCAATTTTTCCCTTTCCGTAAAAAAAAAAAAAAAATCTTTTCATCTAAAATCAATATCTTACGTGCAATACCATGTTGTAATTTTAGACATAGTTGTGGCTTCTGAGCTGGTGATATTTCCAATGTGCTAGGTGCAAGCTCACATTGTTAAGCTGAGAAGACAGTTGAGCTTGATGGAGGGTTCGACTCCGATGTCAAAACCAGCCTCTGGTTATGATTTATGAATGTACATGATTTTTGTTTATATTTGTGAAATTAATTTCTTCTAATAGTTGCAATACTGAATATTGGTCCTGCATGGTCATCTCTGTAAATAAGCATATCATCTCAACACGAAAGCCTCCTTGTAGGTAGGTCGAGTTGAATCTTTCGATTTGTGTAAGGCAAGAGATTGCTCTTATAATTTCTCTGGGAAGTGAGTTGTACGTGGTAGTTGCGCAGCATAATAGATTATCTTGTTTGATTTACATAATATTCTGCATAATTATGCATTAGCAATTTTCGGTGCGCATCACTTTGATGAGCATTCTAAACTCACTAAATTTGGAATATCTATATCTCATTTGAATGGTTTGGATTTGATTTCTTTTTTATTTTTATTTATTTAAAATAATTATTTTAATATGTAAAGTAGAGATAATTTCTTAACTTTCATTGTTTCAAAAAATAATTTTTTCTATTTAAAAATAATTAATTAAAGATTTTAAATATGGACCATTCAAATCAAATATATATGATTTAGATCTAATAAGCTTAAAGTGCTAATCAAAATAATGAGTACTGAAACAGATTTTGTAGTATATGAGATGCGAGGTAATGTTGTATTTCCAAAATGAGAATATTATTTCGACAATGATAGCATGTTACAAAATTTAAATCTAGCTTGGAGATATGTAGATGATCATATATTTTACCACAACTATTTTTTGCTGCAAATTGCGTGCAAAGAGAACAAATAACGAAAAGTTATGTGAGTGGTGTCCTGATAGCATCGGCGAAGGAAACATGAACGAGCTTATTACGTTAACGAAACACTATCTTTCAAACAGAGGGTATTGAAATTAGATATTTAATTTTGTATTTCTGCATTGATTTAAATATTTTTGTTACATTACGAAGATTTGGATCTTTACCCTCTAATTACATTCATCCCATCGTCGCCATTTGAGTTAACTCAAGTAGTTATTACTAACATCTTTAATAACATATAATTAATCCAACAAATGGTATAATTAACTATGTGCAGAAATAACACCATATAAAAGGTAGGGAAAGCCGTTAGTTTTAATTTAAAAAATGATGCCATAAGATTAAGATTCATGGAAACTGACTATGGTAAATGGAGTTTAAGAGTTAAACCATTAAAAAGAAAATTGTTTCGCAATATGGTGCTCCATCGATTTTTCCCAGAGGCATATGGCATTCCATGATTCAAATCGATATGTCAGTCAAAGATGATTGGCCTATCAACTATACTCCGATGGAGTAATTGTCAAAAACAAAAAGGTTTTCTTTTCTAAACAAGGTCGCATTTATAAATCCAATGCTGTGAAAACGATTGTCTCTAATATACATGAAACTTAACGCAGTCCCGACATCGTATATTAGTCACTTGATTTTATTTATGATCAGCTTAAATTGTCATTAGACTGAGCTTCTGGTGGTAAATTGGAGAACACGCACTTTCTGCAAGGAAAGCAACATTGTTGCTGGCTTCCCTTGATTGATCCTAATCAATACACTAGAAGAGTCTTGACAAGTTTCCACATCAGATAATGATTATTGCAATAACTGATGCAGACAGAACTGCTTGGCAGCTAGTTCCGAAACTTGAGAGGGCCTTGATGGGTCTAAATCTGTCTTTATAAGGCTTTAGAAGACAAAAGGAGCATGTCTTTACATGTTTATTTATTGGACAGGGAGATCCATTTCCAGGCGCAAATTTGCCATCCATAAATAACTCGATTAGGTATTAGATCCTGCTCCCTGTTTCTCGACAATGATGACCCCCCCTTTTGTTTTTCCGTTCCCCCAAACGAAGATTGTCTGTGGAACTTTAAGAAATGAGTGCCTTTGCTGGCTGAGATTGTTTTGTTCCTTGGATGAGGCTTCATTGGGCTGGAGAATGTTCAAAGCTCAAACCAAAATTCTTTTTGTTGTCTCACAACCTTGACTGTGGTCCTCTTTTTCCTAGACCACAGCCCAGAGCCCCTCCACTTCATCCTCCTTTGTTTTTTTCCCAAAACCCCACGCCTTTGTTGCAATCTTAAATGAATGTGATTGAAAGGCTTCTTCTGCGAGTCAACCTATTTTTTCAAAACCTTGATCACATTTGTCCATTTCGCTAGGTTTCTAATATGGAAAAAATATACTTTTGAAGCACTGAAAATATTTCGACCAACAAAGACCATTGAATATATCTTTTTCCAATCGTAGATTATTATTTTGAAATGAGATGATTATCAGTTAAAATTAGTAACTTGAGAGGCAATATGAAGAATGACAGTAAGATAAAATGCATGGGATTACCCTGCCAAAAATCAAACATGTCCATATAGTTTTGATTTTGATATTACTTATTTGGTCAAACGCTTAATATTAAGTTAAATCTCTCTCTCTCTCTCTCTCTCTCTCTCTCACGCACACAGAGATGGTTATGCTTAAGCATTACGTTTCAACTCTGACTCAGCTCCTTCCATGCCAAAGCCTTTTTCCACAACACAATTGCCATCACACGTTAACAATCATGCGTAAGTAACATTACTAAAGAACATGCCTGTTAAATTATAGTAGATTGTGTGTGTTTCGCATGGAATTTAAAATAAGTCACATCATTAAAACTGTGGCTTCTCATACTTTTTATATGCTATATTAATATTGATAACGGCTACCAATTTGCTCTTGAATATTGGAGTAAAAGTGGAAGTTGCTCTGGATATGCACAAAACAATGCAGGGAACGTATATGAGGTGATCACGTGATGTGGTCATCGAATGCATCTTTTTCGGGCCTTGGAACATGCCAAATTGCCAACGAGCCCTGTTATGATCGATAAGGCTACAGATACTAGTGGTTCTTGCTAATTTATAAACCATAACTTCTTCTTCATCATAGCCTTTTCCCATGCTCATGCTGAATTCTTATGTTCCTGTCTTTCAACAACACCACATGGGCAGTTTGGATATGTGAGACATTTCCCGGAAGCAACTAAAACATGAAGATCTCAAAAAATATTTGGAAGTATAATTTTTTGCATTCATTTTATGAGCATCGAAAATAGCAGAATTTAGTAATAGCGAAAGGGTTTTATAGTGAAAAATAGCAATGAAATTCTCTGGTTAATATGGAGCTTGACGCCAGGACATAGCCACAAGTGCCAGTTTCTGGAGTATCCAGTTTTAGGTATTATCTGTTTAAGTATTGTTCTTTACGTGTTTGATTAATTGTTTGTGTGAGTTGAGAGAATCTATCTATCCGAAGAATGAATATCAAAAGGGTGATAGAAATGATGGGCCATTGATAGCAATGAAGGGAGAACTTCCAAACATGGGTGAAAATTGAATGTCAATTGAACTTTTAATCACTATAAGAACTGAAATTGATTATTGGGAAGCTACTAGGTATAATCTAGGGAGATAGAAAGTCTCCGTACTTTATATCTCCGAGGTTTTGCCGGTTGGGGTTTCTTTTCAATTTCAATAATTTAGTTTTAAACTAGTTTACACCATGATTAAGCTGATTCATAGGGTTCTGGAAGTAGTAGCTGTTAGATTATAGAGAAATAAATGCAAAAAGATAAAAAGGGCTGAGTTTGTAATTTTAAAGTACATGCCAGATCTTGTATTCTTTTCAGTGTGTGTTTTTGGGGGGGGGGGCGCCGTGGGGTGGCGTAAATTGATGTGATGTAAATTGATGGAAATAATTGTTAAAATCCCTAATTCTGTCTTCAGATAAAACGGTTTGAAGATTGAGTCATGACACGTGGGGTCAACAATAAATATATAAGAAAAAATTCAAAATCTTCATTGGCACAGGTTTAAAAACTCAACTTAGCATAAACCAAGAAAGTTCAAAATCTTCGTTGGCAGAGGAGACAAAAAGGATTATTGAAGATGAAATGAATGGGAAACAGAAATAAGAAATGGACAAGCCAGAGCAAGCATGTTTTACTTTCAAGGAATTTTGCGTGTATCATAAAAATTCTACTAGTTTCTAGCTGGCCAGGACAAAACAAAGAGTATTTAATTTGCTCTTTTGATTACTAGATAATTTGGCACTGCTACACTTCTTTTTATTAACTTTTGTGTAAGTTAGATTCCTTTCCAGAGTGATGTTAACCATGCATTTCTCCTTTATTAATTAGGAATGTTGAAGCTTATATTTTCAAAATTATATCCTTGGTATCTTCAACGACACGATAAAGAGGAGAGAATAAACAGAAAGAGCCAGTCATGTGAACCCCTCTAGTCAAGAACTTGAATGGTTTGGGTTTCAAGTTCCGAACTGTGAGGTGATGTGGTTCAAGGTCACATCAAAACTACCATTCGGAGACTGTTCAGAAGAGGACAATAGAACTGAATCGGTGAACCCCTCCAGCAACTTCGTCCCTCTGAGACTTTTTGCATGGACATATTTCAATATTTTTTCCGGTTAATATGTAACGAATTTGAATACTTCATCTTTAATCCCATCACAGATGATTCTATACAGTTCTCTTTCTGGAGATTTAATCATAATACATAAATACTTCATTCTACTCGGTTATTTTTCGATGATCTTTATTACCTGCATATCTAGTTAGTCCTAATGAATTTAGTCGGGTTTGGAAGGCGTTATATAGTCTCACCTTTTCTTTTTGTTCAAATGATAGAAGTACGAATGGCCAGCTGTCTAATGCTTTTTACGTCAAGTCTCAATTTCGATATCTTGATCTAAACCCATCTTTAAGTTTCAACCTCAAAATTGAAGTGGTCGATGATAGATGATATAGATCATGGATGTATCTATAATATAGAGCAGGCGCTTCTACGCTGCTTCCTTCCGGCCCTTGACCCTGCCACGGTATTCGTGTTGCTTAGTATCTTCTCCACCATTTTAGCAAAAGAGAGATTTCCTTGTAGTTCTTAGATGGGATCCTTCAGCTTTGCTCGAGAGATTTGTTTTTTCTTGTTCAAGTCCCAGTTGAAACAGAATCCGTTTTGGCCAGAATAAAAAGGATCATACTTATCAGTAATTAAGACCATCTTGATACTGGTTCTTGAAAAAAAAAAAATCACAAGTGCTAGTCATGTCTGTAAAAGGAAAATGTAACTTCTTTTAACCTGTGTTTTGACATGAGCTTTATCCGCTAACATCCAAAAAGACATATAAATAAAAAACATTTGTTTTAAGATCATATTCAACTGGTTCGAAACTTCGTGTGATAAAGTTTTTGCTGAGTAAAGAAAAAGGTATGGAGGTTGGGGTA